TCGAATCCTGCTCAGGGCATGGTTGCTTCTTTCTCTCTCTGTGTTCTATGTCCTTTCCTCTTTGTGTGAATGTGACCCGCCTTATAAACGGGTTTGTGATTGTGTGACGTGGGTAACGCCCACTGGGTAACGAGAAGAGAGTAGCAGTTCTGGCATTTCTGTGGCCATTGGGACGAACCCAAAGTCCCAATGGACAAACCCATTTAAAAAAAAATTATTTTTAATGTGACGGTTTAATCACTTTCTCGGCAGTTTTTGCTAGTGCTTCTGATTTCCAAGTAGTTTTTAAAATTCTGGTATTTCTCCATTGATATAATTTTGACAAGTGAAATTCGAATCGCGCATTTAAATAATCACTTTTTGAAGCGCTCAATTTACGCTAATAGTATCATTAATCCATGTGGTGTTTCGATTGTATATTCGGCGGGTGTATTATTGTAGTAGTTATTTATTAAATTACCATCCGCTAAAATCAATTAGCATATGTGAGGTGAAACTCTTGAACCATCGTCCCAGAATGTAAAGATCCGATCATTAGATGAAATTGGTCCGTTTTTTCTTCGGGGGGGGGGGCACTGTTCATACATAATTACATTCATTCTTACATGCGCTGTACGTAAAAGTACAAAATGTATCATTATGCAATGTATCATATATATGGTATACAATCGTTTTTACTTGTAATAATATACTTCAGATTACTTGTAATCATATATTTTGATTACAGTTGTAATCGAAATTTATGATTGAGTAATTGATTACTGTAATCAAAGGATGTAATCTGCTATATTTTTGTCCGTCTTTGATGTAATCAGAGATGATTAGCTGTGATCGCAATTACCTGTAATCGTGATTACAAGTAATTGACAACATAGTAACAATTATCTGTAATCAATTAATGTTGTAATTGATGTTCAACTCTGCTTTGCGGTGTAGTGTACCGATCAGTGATGTCACTTCAGCGGATGTGGAGTCACTGATGTGGAGTCATTTTGAGTTTCGTTCTTTTTTGTCGTATGCCTGTTTAGGCAGTGGGGGTGCGCTTGTTCCTGTTCTTCAGTGGCGCCATCTATGGCCAGGAATTCGACTTCAGCCACAACCGACACACAACCACAACCCGTTTATAGGACGGGTCACATTCACACACAAAGGAGAAAGGACATAGAACTCACAGAGAGAGAAAGAAACATGCATGCCTTGCCCGGGATTCGAACCCAGGACCTTTCTGATGCAAGGACAGTTCCATGCCCCTACACAGGCCGGTCGGCTTCATTAACGATGTCTATTTTATAAGGTAAAAGAACTTATAAATGTTTGGGGAACACATAGGATAAAATACATATTAAACATTAAAACGTTATAAGTAATTAATTAAATAAGAAATAAAATAAACTGGAAATGCGAGAACAAGTTTTTTGTTGAAAATAACATTTCATTTAAATTTCACAAGAATTGTCAGAAACTTCCCTCTTTAGCAGCATAGCTGATAAAGACATGAGGAAGAGGGTTAAAACAAAATTTTTTATCAACAATATGTTTTCCACGTAGGATTTTCATTTTATTATTTGATAAAACATGCTTTTTTCCCACGATTTTTATAATACTAGGAAGCTCCGCCCCTTGCTCACCAACCTTTCGTAATAGCCACTCATACATCTTAGTTTGTTTTTCTCTACATCGATATTTTTTTTAAGCAGAAAAAAAGAAAGGAAGAAAACATATAAATATGTCAAAGCAACAAAATTAATGGTTACCTGCATATGAAAAAGAATCATCTGAGCGTGAAAAAATAAATATATAAACACAGGGAATATGTAAATTTTTGATAAAAACAAGAAGTCATTTTACTAGCTAACTATCTAAAATATTTGTGTTTTTATGATTAAATTCATTGTAGTGTTATCATTGTAAAAGTTTGTTCCTTTTCTTTTTTTTTTGACAAGATTTTAAACTGTATTAATGCGTATTACCAATTGAGGGGGAACATTATATAAGAATCAACAACAAAAACTTTTTATCGACAGTGAATTTTTGCAGCTGAAATGGCCTGTTAACAAAAATACTTTGTGAATGAAATTACCTATCGACCACGTGGTTTCATTACCTCACAGATTCATTATATACCGTCTTTTTTTTAATTGCTAATTTCATCCTTCATTCACTCCCTATATCAAGAATCATTCACGATGGTTAATGCAATTGTTTTTGCGATGATGATCTATACTAATGTACATTAAAAATTAATCTTAGAAATAAACGTGTTAAATATGACTAGAAAAAAATTGTGTAATATACAACTTAAATGTGTAAAATACAATTAGAACATCAAATGTAAAAAATATTTCGTTTTTGTAACATGATGTGAATAAAGGAGTAGGCAATTTTCAAATAAAATGCTTCTTTTCTGGCAACTTCAACAAACTATTAAGATTTTGCATCAGGCTAGGTTTAAAAAATTTCAACACAAATATACTAAATTACGAAGAAGTGCAAGGGGCATAACGTCTAATGTAAAAAATCATAAACTTCGTTTCAAAATTACGCATGACTTAGCCTACGAATAACTTTTTCTACGAACTGTCGACGAAATGACCTAGTCGATGAAATGAATATGCGATCCATATACAGGGTTATTCATAATTCCTTCCAGGGTTTCGAAGCGTTATAGTAAAAAAGGAAGAGGAATATGAAAAAAGAAACATATGAAATTATTCCGAAACTATTCGAGTTTTACTTACATACATTGCAGGTGTTCTATGTGTGAACCCTTGGTCACACTGCATACATACATGCGATAGTCCAGTTCCTGTCCGGAGGGAATTATGAATAACCCTGTATATATATATATAAATGTATTTTTGATGAATGTGGAGGAAATATATAATCTAGAAATTGTATGAAACGTTTCTCAAAATATCAGGAAATTTTATTTCTAAAATTGAATGGGAGCCCTAATTAACAAAGGCTTTATTTAGAATTTATTTATTTATTATTTTTTTAAAATTCTAATAGGCTCCCATGTATATTATTTTTTAATACATATCTTATTCTTTTTCTATTTTAGAAGCAAAAAATTCAAAGAGAAAATTTTTCACTTTAAAAACTATGTTATGTTAAAATGTATGTAACTTATTAATTTATTTTTTTTGTAATTTTATTATAAATATTATTAAAGATTTAGTTATTCCCACTTTTTACCAACTTTTCCCATACAATTTCTGACTAAATTTCATAGTACCAATGATAATAATTTTAGAAGCAAGATCATCAGTAGTTAAAAGAAGGTAAGAACATAGTAAAACAATATTTTGTCTCAGCGTCATGAATTTTTTAACCCATAATTTGTGAAATATATTTCATAAATTCATTATAAAACATTTACATTTGCACAGAATACATTCTTAATAATTTGTATAATTTAAGATAATTAATGGTTTATAATTTTGAAGAAACGTATTTTTGTAAAGTTATTAATAATTTTTTATTAAATTATATATTTTTGATTTGCAAAAGAACTTTTTTAAAATGTCTTTTAATATATTTTTGACATTTTTAGAATGTTATAACGCGTTTATTAAAATAATATCGATACTAGATTTATTCATATTTGGTGGGAGGAAAAACATTTTTTTAGTCAAGTAATTTAATTTTATCATAGTTTAAGACATTTTTGCATATTAATTTAAATAAAAATAACTTTCATATTTTTTAATATTAAAAAATTATATTGTATTGTATATTATAAATGTATTGTATATTATAAATATAATAGCAAGTCATTAATAGCTATAATTTATAATAATAAGGATACTTTATTTTTAATGGAAAAAAATCTTTTTTTTATCAAATGCTTTATTCAGAATTCATGTTTTTGTTCAATAAAGAAACGGATTGATTGATCTATTGTTACAAAATGTAATGCCAATTCTAAATTAGTAGATAAATCTTTAACATTTAATGTTAAAATGGATACATATATCAGCTAAAGCGATGGGTCAGGGCCCACTCTAAGTCATTTTCTCCAGTACTAAAGTGAATGGCTGGCCACCTGTCAACTCATCAACGCTGGCTAGCTGTATTCAACCCAGCATTTGTCCCCTAAAAAGCACAGGATGAGTGACTGACATTTTCCAGCAGAGGGTAATCAATGAATCAACAATTGATTGCCAGCAATCTGTATATTTATTGAGGGTTACTAGAGGTCATTGACCTAGTTACCCCTAATTGAAAACTGCAAATCCGATTATTTTTATTTAATCTCATGAAAAATATAAATTCAATTAATTAACAATTAGCTAAATAAATATTTAGCTATCTAGGTAATTAATACAAATTTGAATAAATTACTAATAAATGTACTAAGAAAATTTTTAAAAGTAATTTTTACATTTTAATTATTTTTTTGTAAAAAAGAGTATTTTTTACACAGTTCAACCCCTTAGTCCAGAATATGTACCATGCATAAACCACTTATTAAGTCACTTTCACTTATTAATACATTTTTAAACTAGGTAAACATATATAATAGTTTTTCTTTTACTGTGCTATACTACTTAAAAGCAGAATAATAAAACTGCTGTCCAGATTTATAAAAAATTCTGTATCTCACAAATAATTGTGCAAATTTTAACTTGTAGACAATATATATGTATATAAATTACAAAACATAAAATAAATATATAATAAAGCTAAAAATAGAGTTTTAAAATAAAAGCTGTGCGTTTTTAAGGAATCTAAAGTTAAACTATTGTATCCTATACAGAAATAAATACAACCTACAGCAGATAATATAAAGAAGCTGCATATAGATGTATTTAGTGCAGTATTGATCATGAATTCATGTTTTACTGATTATATTAAGTCTTGCAGCAAAATTAGGAAAAAAGTAAGTGTATTGTACAAAAGTGTACAAATGTAGTCACCTGGTTATCCAATGAAATGAATTGAATGTACCCTGAAATTAGTTAAATACATAATAAATGCTGTTTCTTGCATACATTTTATTTTCATACAAAGACATATCCATAAACAATACAAAAATGGCACAAATTTCTATTTATATTTCACATTCAATTTTAAATATAATAAAGACAACAGAGAATTTAAATATCTTTGTCCCCATAGAATCGCTTGCACTTAACCTTAGAAGAGTTCTGAAGAACTTCAATAAAACAACTGCAACAAACAATGCTTGACATTATTCAAAATCCTGAAAGAGAGGACATTAAAATAAAAATTATGCAAATCACAGATTTTAAACAACAATTTTTGTGAAAATGAGCTTTCAAAACTAAAATTTCTATCTTGAAAAGTTTTTGCTTACGTCGTTTCATCGATAAATCTTGACTCATTAAAATACCTATTGTAAAACCATGCAGACAAACACCTGTTTTATAATTTAGAAAGATTTTGAACATAAAAATCCTTTTTGAATCAAATTATTGGATACTGACTCACAAACCCATTGAGATTGGTACCTAGTACATGAAAATCTGACTGTTAAATGAAAAGTTATTCAGGGCGTTCACTTTTTTATTTTGCACACACCTTTTCTCAGAAAATATTCAATTAATTTTCAAAAACTTACTGATTTTTTTCCTTTTTTATTTATGATGCTCAATTTTATTGCTTTTAATATTTAAAATAATTATGATACTCTAATGTAAATTATTGTTTCAAGGAAATGTAGAGAAGAAAAATTACTTTTAAATATATACTACTTACATACTCATACGAATTTATCAATCATATTTCTTTTTCGCTTTACTTTCATAATTACATTTTTAATTGTATTCCTTTGACAAAAAAATTTCTAAATTTACAATATTTTTCAAATTAAAATATTCATTAAAACAATAATATGTAATGAAACTGAAACCAGTTCAGCAATAAATAAAAACTTTTTGCTCAAATTTTGTTAGTCGAAAAAGCAGATAATTTTTGAATACTGTAATAACTTTATATTTTAATACATTTCTGAAATTCATATGTTTTCCTTACATAAAAATTACAAGAATTAGATAAGAACAGTTGTAATAATAAAATAAAATAAAAAAACTATCAATGACAGATTCGACCAAGTCACGATTTCTGTAATGTCTCTATATAACTGGTATAGATGTAAGACAAAAAATGACAAGTTTACATAAATATTATACATAACATTATTTTCATCTCTGCAGAAATTTCTTTTCTTAAATTTTTATTTTATTTATTTCGTTACTTTTTTAACTAAAACTTTTTGTTACATACTCCATTACCACGCCTACTACAGAGCTCTCCTAGAGAATAAAAAAGGGCATGGTGCTTTCCTCACAGAAAAGAGTACATTGAGTTTTGAAAGGGCTCTTACTTAACACCGTAAATATTTAACAAAATTTGTAATATCATGTAATAGCTGAATTTCATCCTCAACGATTGTTAAATTACCATCTTATACTATTTTGGGTATTTCAAAAAGGAATTCTTACTCATTATCAAAATGAGAGAAAATTTGTAGTTTATGGAGATAAAAAAGACATGCTAAAAGAGAATCACTGTGCACACATTTTTCAAAAAAAATAAATAAATAAATATACAAAAATATTTATTAAAAAAATAATTTAAAAATCCCTTAATAAATTAATTAATCCTAACAAAGTAAATATTTATACTGGTATCAGAATCAAACCTATCAACACAGATAATTTTAAAAGTGTGTAATTATCATTTAAACATTAAATTTTTTTAATGGAATATGAACAAAAAGACATTGTCATCAAAGGGCAGTGAGGGCGGGTGGCCCTTCCCCAGGAAGTACACTGCATACTACATGCATTTTCATTTGATNAAAAAAAAAAAAAAAAAAAAAAAAAAAAAAAAAAAAAAAAAAAAAAAAAAAAAAAAAAAAAAAACAATAATAATAATAAATAAAAAAAATTTTTAAATATACAAAAATATTTATTTAAAAAATCCCCTAATAAATTAATTAATAATCCCTCCTTCCAAAAAGAGAAACTTAAAAATTTAACCACTTGAGAATAATCAATATTTATACTGGTATCAGAATCAAAACTATTAACACAGATAATTTTAAAAGCGTGTAATTATCATTTAAACATTTAATTTTTTTAATGGAATATGAACAAAAAAAACAGTGTCATCAAAGAGCAGTGAGGGCAGGTGGCCCTTCCCTAGGAAGTACACTGCATACTTCATGCAATTTCATTTGATACAGAAAAATTAGTTGCTATTTTCTGTATATTGGTGTAGCAGGTGTTCCATACATGGGTGCCACAGTAAAAAAAAATTCAAGACTGAACTTATTTTTTGACCATTTAACACAGTCAAAATATTTAGAAAATTATAGCTTACCATGAGATTGGTCCATTTATTAAATCAATGACTTGATTATTTTTTCTGAAAATTTTTTTTCTTTATTTTATTAACTTATTTTTCACAGTGAACAAATCAAAAATAACAACTAAACTCTTTACACCAATCGCTAAATTTCTGACTTTTTCTTGGAGGCCTACCTCTATTTTTCACTGCATCATTTTCTCCTAGATCATTTTTCAAAAATAATTCAATCTAGCAAAGCATCTTAAAATATGCAGAGAAACCATTTAAACTCAAGCAGATTCTGATTTAACAATACAAATTTTATTTACATAAGTTCAGTCAATAACACTCAATATAAAAATAGTTTTCAAAAAAAAAGTAATCAATTTTTTTATATTTCTTTTAACATAAGTTTTTTTTTAAAAAATTCTGTTAGAAAACAATTATCTTTTTTGAAAGCTTAATTAAAAAAAAATAGAGATATAAATTAAATGGGGGACTGAATTCAATCCCCTGGATCTTTTCCAAAGACTGATTTCAGTCCTCAGGACTGAATAATGGGCACCCATGTCAATGAACCACTTTTACTATATACTTTTCAAATTTCAGTAAAAACCTTTGCAAAAATAATCACACATTAAGGGTCACAAACGAAAAAAAACAAAACTTATTGAAATCTAATGAATAATTCGGAGGAAAGCTGGACTGAAAACATTTAAACCTGTTTGATTGCCTGAGATCACAAAAGTTGAAGAACAATCATTTAAAACTTCAACATTTCAATATGGAATTAAATTGGTTCTGATGTTTTTCATCTCCCATAACTCATAAGAGAATCGTGAGATATCTAAAATTTTTTTGCTCCTCTTGCACTTAAATGTTAGTTTTGAGACTCCAAATGTGTTTAATTTTTAAACTTCGGTTTCAAGAAAACTTTTTTCTCTCGAAAGGGTGTATTTTTGCCTTAAATAAAAATATTTTCTTCCATTTAAGAATCGATAAATAAGTGAAATGTAGGTGTTATTAACACTGCTTTTTAGTTATCGTAAATTAAATTTACTTACACATTTTATTTTTTTAAGAGTTTTTAACTTTTATGAGACACTTCCCGTGCTTGGACTAAAAATAGATTTTTCTTACCGGAAAAAATTGTTCTGACAAATTACGTCTTTGAAGGCATTCAATACAATAGTTTCAAGATGCTTCAAATCGGTACTTTATCGTTAATTTTTTTCTTCTCTAACCTAAATTCAATCAAAATTTTATTGTACTTAATATAAAAAAATATTTTACATACATTAATTTAAAATTTGGAAATATAACACGTTTTTTCATTGAATAGAGGAGAGAACTATTAAAATGAAAATTAATAACCATTATTAAAATATAAAACAACATACCGTGACCTATCACTCTTTTATGTGCCTTTTGCATACATAAAAAGGTTTTCAAAGGTCCTTGATCTTTAGATAGGAAAATAATGATAATTTGTTTATGCGTCGTTCAGAAAATAAACATATCAATTATGCGAGCAATTTTTTTTAAAAATAGAAAAAAATGCTTTTTTCTTTAAATAGGAAAAAATAATCAAATTTTTCTAGAAAAAAGTTTTTAGATTAAATATTAAATCAAATAAACAAGCTTCGTAAGAGATAAAATGAAATATGTTACTGGATCTAGTGAAATAGTTCATTTTTCTTCCCCTAGGGACTTTTTCACGTTCATTGTTTCTTGGAAGACATTTTTTCTATGAATTTGAATAAGGCGTCTTATCTGTACAACACCCATATTGAAACCACCATATATATATATACCACCCATATGCCTTAAAAATTTATCATGAACAGTGATAAACTGATTACCACTGATTAAAACATTAGTTTTTGGTAATGGAATGTTAAGTTATAGCAATTACTATTATTCAGTTTCAGCGAAAACAGAGATGAAAAAGTTCCTCAAAATCATAAAAAAGAGTTAGAAGGCTTAGCCACTATTCATGACTATTTATAGTTTAATTCCAGCTATTTAAACTTTTCTTATTTGTATGAAATTACTATTTTTGAAATCTTATGCGCTTTTTCTCTTGGTCCCAAAGACTGGAGCATATGAGCATTCACTGTATTCTATTAATGAATTCGCTTAATATATTAAATAGTTCCTAATCCTTCTTTAAAATCATAATTAAAATATATAAAACTTCTCAAAATAATATTAAATTACTTATGCACATCAAAGATTCTCATAACTGCCAACATGGATAGGAAAAAATCCAGTAGATTTTACGAAATAATATAAATTTCATGATAATTGGTGCAGAATTATGATAATTGTTCCATATATTTTACACAATGGGAATTTTATAGTCATCAAAACAGAAAAACTGCAATATTTTCCAGTTATGATTGACATTAAACACACTTGAAATGTTATGTATTATCTTTACTCATAATTTCGAATATTAATAGGCATCAATCGTAAAAGATAGATAATCATATGATTAGCATATCATAAAAGATAGATAAAATACTTTTTAATTTAAAAAAAGTTCTGAATAAAAAAAAAAATTTATATTCTATAACGAAAAAAGTTTTGAACCGATTTCTGTAAATCAGGTTTGCATCATTATGCATTAGTAATAATCATTTAAATATTCCAGCAAGCAATAATCTGTACAAAAATTATATTTCAATACTGATTTTTTTAGGAAGCTTACTCAATTTTAGGGAATTTTTTAAAATAGGCAAAAACCAGGAGAATTTTAATTAAACCAGTAGACCAGGAGAAACTAGCAAAATCCAGTAGTCTACTGGAAAATCCAGTAGAGTTGGCAGCTATGGATTCTGAACACGATAAAAAAGGTAAGTTAAATGTTAAATCATCTATTAATGAATTTAAAAACTCGCCTGTATCAGTTAAATTGGTTGGTAACAATTGTTTTTCTTAATTTAATTGATTTTGAAGAAAATTCTTCCAATTGATTTTAATTAAATTTTTGTCTTTTGTATACCGTACGCCACCTATTACAATCATTTTTAAGAATTTGCGTGTTAACTCTCACTGTGTTGCAGTATTTGTTATTTTTATTGATTAGTAATTATGTTTTCATACGGTATTGAACTATACTTTGCATTCACTGTAAAAACTCTTTAAAATTCTATGCTTTTTTTATGTGAACATTAACTTGAGATCTAAAATAATTTTCACTTATCTTTTAGCAAAATTTAAAAAGCATTACGCAATGGACACACAGAAAATTCGAATAAAATTTTTTAGGAATCAGAATGAGAAAAATAACTTGTGGGCCAGGAATTTTTTTTAACAGAATAGTCAACAATAAAGCAAAAAGATTTTCAAAGTTCAGCTCTAGGATCCCAAAATATAAAGTAAGCATTGAAAATCTTTCAAATAGTTAATTGAAAAATTTAATTTCCACTAAACGATTCTGTGCAAAAAATGACTATAAATTTAGCTTTCAGTGACTTGAAAGCAATTATAACTTGTTGTTTTTATTTAAGTTAACATTCTCTGTTTTGCCAGTATTTATGTAAAGAGTCAGATAAGGATAAGAAATCAAACTTTTTCTAGATAATTCAAAAAATAAATTATTAAGTTTTTTTCAATGAAATTTTTGATCTCAGAGGATGTTGGCTTGTGTGTAAGAGGATGCCAATTTAGACAGCTGAAATATTTCTGTTTTTTTTTTACTGAAATTTTTTCTTTAAAATGTGACAGATTAACAAAATAGTGCTAATTTTTATCTAATTCATAGGAATAAAATAAATAAAAGAGCATCATTTTAAATTAAAAATCTAAACAATAACTTTTTTTTAAAAAAAGAGGAAATTTTGAAAAATTTTTTAAAATAATGTATATGCTTATCAAAATTATGTTAACTTAGTATGTATTTCTCTCACACAGTCTTTATTAATAATAGCAGGAAAATGATAACATTTAAAAATTAAGATTACAAGTTTTTAAAAATTAAGCTTACGAGTTTTGATATTACTCATATGGGCATTAGTATTGATATTTTTACCATATCCTTATTGAGTTTAGTAATTTTTTAAAAAGATTTTGTTTTCCATGATAAATGTGCTATATGAATGTATAACGTTTTGATAAAGGTTTAAAGATGTGCTGATAATTTTACATCATTATGATATTTCATTATTTTTTTGCTCTGTTTTTATTACATGCCTGTTATAAAAAAATTTTTCATCATTCTTAGTTTTTCTAAACTTTTTAGAAAACAAAATTTTAAAATAAATTATTTTTTACTGTTAAAATAACTACGTAAGGTTATAAATGAATAACTAAATATTTTTCGTTATTTTATTGACTTGTTCAATATTATACAACATTTAGTTCTTCCATCAGTTTCTACAGCATATGATATTCGTATTAAAGCAATTATTTTGGAAAATATTTTTGACTTAAAAAAAATTAGAACTTTTTAATAATGATAAAAAAATATGTTAATAAAATTAAAAACTTTAATGAACACGTAAAGATTTTAATTTATAAGCACATCATTATCTTCGGACGAATTTGAAATTTTTGTGCTAATGCGGCTACTCCAAATTTGGAATGAAAGGCTGATTGATTTTTTTTACTTAATTAAGCATCCATTTAAAAAAACTATTACAAAAGGTTTTAAATTAATTAAATTTTTTTTCTTTCTTTTAAATAAGTTAATAAATAAGTCCTAAATATATCTTTAATAATTTGGTTTATATGTAGAATTTATGTATCTCCTCATATGCCTAATTATTTAAATAAATTTAACAAAATGTAATTAACATAAAAAATAAAATGTTCGGATTTGATTTCAAAGTATATATCATTCAGCAGTACTAAAAAATACAGCAGTTGATTGCAAATTGACTTAATAACAATCTTAATAACATCACTGATTTTTATTTAAATTTTTTGAACAATATTTAAAAAATAATATTTAATTCAGCATTTAGTTTTAACAGCATAATGATATGCTAAACTGATTTTAATGCATACACTTTAAAATTTTACATGAGTTATTTTCATCAAAATTAACATAGAAGTGTTTCCAATGCAAATAAATTGGTTATTATGTATATTTTCATATTTTCAGTAATATAAATGCATAGTTATAGAAGTGTATCATAAGAAAATAACAAAATATCTCAAATGGAACAGTACATATTATTTACTATTATCATGATAGATTTTTTCCCCTTCAATATTGAAAATTTTTTGACTTAAAGAGAACATTGATTCAAAAATAGGTTATAAATCAATGAGCTACACTCGCATTTTACCAAATTTCAGAACAAATTCATTATAAATAGAAATTTAAAATTATGTATTTCTTAGCATTCTCTATAAATCTGTTCTTTAAATGTTCCCCTACAAGCCTGTGCTAGTTTTATTGTATTTACCAATTTACATTTAGTTCTTCTAACATACCACATGCTTAAAGTATAAACAAGATAAATGGTAAACAATAGACTTATTGTCATGTACCATAACTGAAATAAAAATATTTGCCACTATCTTCATAAATGATTCTTCGCTTTAATTTGATTAAAAAAAAAAGGATTGACATAAATTATAAAAGGCAAATTTGTTAGAATTTTTTTTTTTTAAATTTATTGCTCTAATTTTTTATTTTTGTTTTAACTATTTTTACTATCATATTCTAATTATCAAATTTTTTTTTCTGTCATGGAGAGTCAGAACGGAAGATCAACAAGGATGATGAAACTCAAAATTTAAAAAACAACAGTGGCCATCAACAAAAAAGATGGTAAGAAATAAAATTTAATTTTACCTCAGTTTCATCCAGGGATGGAAAAAAAAATCCAGAAAACCAGGTTTTTTTTTAAAAAAAAAATAATAATAAAACTATACTATAAGCCCTTAATTGAAATTACCCGAACCAATCGAAAGTCTTTCATAGGATTTAACTATTAATTAATATTTTCAATAAGCAACTAGAAAATAACCACTCTTCTTTAAATATATTAACAAAATATGTAAAACAAAAAGGAAAGAACTGAATACTTCAAGAATACAGCTTCACTTAGCACGAAAATAAATATTCGACATTTAAATTTTAGTTTAGTAATACATTAAAGAATGATTATCTCCCTTGCTTCTCTGTAATGATACAAAAATGCTATATTTCAGTATTGTTTAATTAATATCATTATTTTAGCTGTATGCAATTTATAATATTAGTATAATATTAAATTTTATGAAACAAATGCTTTTTAATCCCTTGATTTAATACAAATTTTAATATATTTAAGACAATGTACCATCTATATTTTACATGACTAAAAACTAAACTCAGTGGCGCGACAGCCCATAGAGGGCCAAGGCCTACTGTGCCCATCTCAGTTTTCTTGACCTTGGGCTCTGGGGTGCAGGAGCAGATGTTCCGGTCAGGTGGTCAGCAGAACGCGGAACCCCAGTGTTTAGTTCCCAAGCATGCTTGGTACTCATTTATCGACCCACTGAAGGGATAAAAGGCTGAGTCAACCTTGCCCGGCCCGAGGATCGAACCAGGGACCTGTGGCACGACAGCGCGAGGCGCTACCGCTTAGCCACCGGGCGTCATATTTTATATGAATAATAATTAAAAAGTGTTTTGTAATAATTATTTCATGAAAACATACAAAAATGATATGAAAAGCATGTAAAATAGTAAAAGTTTTTAGCATTAATAGTTTAATAATAAATAAAGCATAAACTTTTTTTTTCCATTTATTTTAACATAATAGAGCTTATAATAATATCAGAGTTTGTAGTCCTGAAATTTCTGAATTCCTGATAAACATGTTTTATCCAAATTTATATTTAGCTTTTTGCTCTGATTTCTGATTTGTTCATGCTCAGAACATCACATTTTCTACCAATATTAATGCAGTTCCTAAAACTATTAGTTTGAATAATCAAAAGATTTGTATTTCCAATATATTATTTTATTTTATTTTAATTAGTAGTTCATGCATAAAATTACTTTTGAATACAAATGATAAGACACATATTTACTTTGCCCTCCTTTCAAAATTATTGATACCCCACTTAAAAGTAGTTTATTAAAGGCGTAATGAATTTAATTGCAGATTTAAATAAATATTGGTGTAAAATAATATTAAATGGATTGATACTGATTATTTTTAATGCAGAAGTACTATTAAAATTTCCTAATTATAGATCTCAAACTGTTACAAATTGCTCAATGATAGAATTATAAAAGTTGTTTAAAATTAAAAAAGTATATATATATTAATTTGACCTTATTGTACTTAGAGACAATTATACTTTCTTTAATTTGTTGTTTGCTTTTTTTTAAAAAAGTAAACTGGTACATGTATATTGTACAGAAAAATGCACTGGTTTTTCAATTAGCTCACTAACCGGCCTGCAATTTGCTTATTAATAAAATGCTGCATTGAATAAAATAAAATACAATATGAATATTGTTAATAAATTGCAGGGTTTAAAAAAATCCTCTAAAAAAAGATTTTACTTAAATTATATTTCTTTATAAATCTTTTTTCTACATTTACCATTCAAAACACTTCATAAATTGTTCTAATAATACCTAACTTTACCTAAAAACATTATTACAGCTAGAATAGTTAACATTTCTAACTAAGATGGTTAAAGTTATTTAATTATTAGAAAACTAATAATTAAAAAAAATAAAATTATAGTTATGTTCTTCATGCTCAACTTGCTAATGAATGTTAAAGTTTGGGGATATTATTTGTCAATTAGATATCTAAAGAAGATTAAATTAGTTTAGATCAGACTACATAGTTGAAAAAAATATTTTAAGTTACGTTGTGTAGAATAAGTATTGATATCCATGAGCTATATATATGAACTGCATTTAAGTAAGCATAAAATTAAAAGTGTATAATTGAAATGCGTATTTTGGCAGCTAATCTATTTTGGAATATAATAATTTGCTTGCATATCTCTTATATCTTTTCTTAGTAAATAATCTTATTAATGAAAAAAGACTTATAAAAACATTATTTAGAGTATGTTTTTTTTAGTTTTACTTTATAAACAATTTTTACACTTGAGTTAAGTATAAATTAAGTTAAATAATCAGTTATATAGTAAGTTAAATAATATAATAAGTTAAATAATCAGTTTATTCAAGCAATTGAATTTTTCCAAATCACTTTCTTTAAATCAATGCTTTTATTAAGGATAATAATTAAAGGGGATATGTGACTAATAATTTACATGCATATCATATTTATTATTTCTTAGTGAAATACTATCATTATCACTGAAATCAGACCTTTTTAAAAATAAAAAGGAATCGTAACCTGAAGAATGCATTTATTAATTAAATTTTATAACACATTTTTATAATTAAATTATTAATTTTTATTTAAAAAAAAAACAGCTTGACTTAATGGCTTTTAAAAAATCAGTCGATTTAAATCAATTACTTTTTTTTAATTGCTATTTTCTGTACATATCATTTAATATATGCATAGTAAAATAAATTGCTTTATTTTTTGCAGGAAAACTAGGTTCATTGATCAGTTTTATTAAAAAGTAAAGCTTCTATTTATTTAAAATTATTAAATTGGTGTATTATTTACAGGTACACAAAAATTTTTTGTGGAAAAAATATTTACAATACATCTTGTTTTTCTAATATGCATGTATAATATGTTTAGAAAAATAATGACTTTATAAATGGGCACATACTTCAAGGCTGAATAAACTTTAGTGTGTAAGTTTCTATCAAGAAAAACTAGTTGTAGGTTTCAAATATATAAGCACTGCTTTATGACAATATAAAAAGCTAAAATATATTGAATTGCAATCGCTGATATCAGCAGAGTAAGACAAACACTCGCGACAATTTATGTTCCATAAATAAGAATTGTTATCAACAACATGTAATAAAAGTTAAGCAATAAAGTTATAGCATTTGAAATTAAAAGTTAGGATAAGTTGTAATAAAGGCGATTAAGTAACGAAAAAAAAATGCATTGATTGTTAACTAATTTATATATGCGCTGTGCATTGATTATAGAATTGTTTGCATACATAAATGCAGCACATAACATGTATTAATGAACAAAAAATTTTTTTTCATGATGTATCAGATAAAATTAAATTCAGTTAACAAGAAATAATTGTGATAGTCCCGCCAATTTTGCGCGTTTTGACTGAATAATTATAATCATAAATTTCATAACAATAAATAAATAATAAAATCATAACAATAAAATCATAACAATAAATTTCATAACAATAAATTTCAAACAATACGACTGCATTAAAAATTATTTTATTGATGGTTACCATCAAGATTTTGTTGGTCCACCGATAGAAAATCATAAAAAGTTTTGACTTGGGTCAAAAGTGACCGTAGTTAAAAAATTATGCAGCTGCCCAGTGGCCAGTGAACAAATTTTTAAATTTTGCACTGCAGCAAACAGATTACTATTAAAGATAGAATATTGACTAACCCTTGGAGAAATTATCAGAATTTTTTTTCTTGAGACACATTTTTCTTTTTTCATGAATCGGATGTGTTAAAAAAGGGTTAATTAAATGTATGTTTTTAGATTCATGTGGTGTGAAAAATATCGTATTAAAAACAGCGATATTTTAAAAAAGATACGAAAACTAGTATTGATAACTGCCCAAAAATTGATTAAAAAACTGCAGAGTTATTGCATCAAATAGTGAACAATCAGTTGCACAATTTGAATTTTCCGTAACAAATAACGGGATTTTTAAAAAACATGTGGAAATGAAGAAGAAAAAAAGAGATCGAAATGTTGCATGGATTTACCACAAATCATCTTGTATTAAGTAATTACACAAAAGTGCAATTAAAATTTTGCATCTCGTTATAATATCGGAATTTTAAAAACTATGAGAAAACCAATAGCATTAACTGCCAGATTAACTATAATTTACGATGCAATAGAGCGCATTGAAAAGTGATTATTGAAATGCAGAAATCGAACTGAAACGAACCACGTCGTAAACAGATATTAAGCATTAATTTGTTCGAATTGTAGCCAAATATAAAAGGGAGAAATTATACCACAATGATTAAATAGTTCTTCGGTTACAAATCGAAATTTGCAACAAACTTGCTACTCATTTAAATACAAGTTTTAAAAAAAATGAGAAGAAAAAAAACATTTCCTTCTGGCGAAACAATCTTTTAAATATTTATCATTTCGGAATTACTTTTCAGATTACCAATTTTACATATTTGTGTTAGCTTCTTAATTTTGACCAAAATTATCATGATTTTTTTTTCCAGTCTCTTGTTTTTGAAGTTTATCCAAAGTTGTGTTTTCCTTTAACAAATCTGCGTAAAAAACAGTAGTTATCGCACGTGAATGAGAACTTAAGAAGAAAAACAAAGGGTGCTGGTAAGAGCGGAATAAATGTGACTCGTTAACGAGACTTTTGTTGATTTAGATTAGAGTTGATTAGATTAGATAAACGAGATTTTTTGTGGATTTACATTAGTGGAACTCAGAGTAAATTTCGTCTGGATATAAATGATTGATTTGCGGAAGTCTGTGAATTAGAGGAAGAATCACACGCATGGAAATGGATTGGTAGTGTTCTAGATAAACAAGTTCTTAATTGGAACCTTCAGGGCAATAGAAAAAGAGGAAGACCTAAAAATACTTGGTGTAGGACGATATAAGTGAGTTGAAAACAATATAGAGGCAAAATATCTGGCCACAAATAGAGTGAGATAGAGAGCTATGATGGAAGTTCTGATTCGGAGTTAAGTATTATTTTTGTAATTGTATTAAGATGACAGAACTATCGCTTTTGGTCATCTTAATAAATTTGAACCTCTTTAAACCAATTTAGGATTTTCAATGAAAATGCTTACCTAAAGAGTTCACAAAATCTTTGGTGACAGCATCAAAAGTCAAGTAGAATGATACAAATATGGTGAGGAAATTATGAATTAATTCTCCTTCCAGGAAACGTACAGGTTCTAGGGCCAGTAGGTGGTCCATTAAAATGTATTGGGATCACCAAGGGAGGTCACAATACACCTATAAATTCAAACAAACGCTTTTAATGTATTGTACAAACATTTCTGATGAAATAAGAATTGCGAATAATTTAACAAAGCTAATAATAAAAGGAATTAATTACTTTTCAAACTCAGAAATTAAAATTTGTCATAAGATATAATTAGTGTTTAATGTTATCCTTGTGGTACGTGCAATATTCCCAGGTCTATGATGGTACAAAATAGAACTGTTTCAGTCATTTTTGTTTGCAACTAGCCTTGTGCCATTACACAAATCATCTGCTACGCATAAATTTCTAACACGACAATTGCACCATTGAGACACAATTTATGCAATGGTAGTCCAAGGACATTTATTTTTGAGTTATTCTAGTTGAAATCTTACAAAAAATGTTTACGCATGAGCATCCAAACATGACGCTTTGTATTAACAAGGGAGTCACTCTAAAAAATTTTCAACATTTAACTTTTTTAACTAATCAACACAGTCTAGCGTTATTTAGAAGAATTTGCAGAAATAAATAGCTCACTGACAGAAAAATGTACTTATCCATGAAAATGGCTCACATATTATTTCAAAGACTTTTTTATTTTTTCTTAAAAATTTTTTTTTCATTTTTCTTCATTTTTTTTTTTTTTTTTGCCTATTTTTACAGCAAACGAAACAAATTTAACAACCAACTTAGTAAATCATTTTACAATAATTGCGGAATAAATACATCACTAACTTTTTTTGATCCCTACTTATTTTTCACTTCATCATCATTAATCTTTTTACCTTAATTCCATAAATTTCGTTAAACAATCTGAATTTCGTTTCGTAAAAACAATCTGAATTTAACTTTCCTCATCCCTTTAAAACATCAACAAAAGGATACAGCAATAATTATGAAAAAGTAATAATTTCTTTATTTACTTCTTACAAATATTATTTTTATAATTTTTTTAAGATAAAAAAAAAAACATTTTTGGAAAAATTAATTGAAAGATAAATTGAAAATAGATATTAATTGGAGGACAAAATTTAGATCACTGACTTTTTCTCAAGACTCACTTCAGTCCTGAAGAGTGGTACCAATGGTCACATGAATAGCATGCCGGCCAGGTGGCCGAGCGGTCAGCGTGCCTGACTGTGAAGCCAATGGTAGCGGGTTCGAATCCCGCTCAGGGCATGGATGTTTCTCTTTGTGGGTGTTCTCTATTGTGTGATGTGTGAATGTGGTCCACCCTATAAACGGGTATGTGGCAGTGTGGCGTGGGTAATGTTACTCGCCTCCATGACTTAGGTTCACAGGTGCCCACTGGGTAACGTTAAATGAGTAACACCTCCGGCATCTTCCTAGGCAAAGAAAAGTGCCTGCCGTTAAAAAAAAATATGAATAGCATTCTACAATGTCACCTGGTAATCTGTTCAGATATGTTCAATTGATTCACCTGATAATTAACAAGAGCTAACAACATTCTAACTAAATTAGCACTTCATAAACCAAATGTTTCAAAATCAAAAATTAAACGCTACGAGCCATAATTAATGTGCAACCACAATAAAAGGGTTTTACAGTACCCAGGCTTGTCACTCAAATCTGGAAAAAAAATTCCCTGTGTTTTTCCTGTACAAAATATATTAAGAGGAAACACAATTGTTGTGCTTCTGTGTGAGCTATATAGGGTTAACTATTCTAGTTTTAATTGCTGGAAAAACTTATGAGAAAAAAAAAGGGAAGAGCTGAACATACTTAAACAATGCGATTGCAAATGAAATAGCGTAGTATAGCTGAAACATTCTTAAATATCCCATAGATTACGCTTTGAGTGGTCATCATCCTTTAAAAGACAAAAATAAGAAACAAAATTTTCTATTTGTATATATCCCCTGTTGTATTTTATCAGTTTGTATGGAAGAACTAAAAATTCCCTGCATTTTCACTGTTATTTTAGTTGCTTTTTTAATTCCCTATATTTTCCATGTTGGCCCTATAGAGTGACAAAGAGTAAGTTGCCTGTGTGTCATTCGTGTTATTTGTTTTGCTTTTTTGGAAATCAAGATTTCTAGATACCTGACGCCTATCATTGATGGATTGACAGTTATATTCATAAAATCTATTTCTCTTTCGAACAAGTCTTGGTCGATCTGCACCAGAATCAACGCGACTCTTCAGATCAAGACTGTTATTTTTCCTTATTGATAATAAAACAAATAACAACAAATAATAATAACAAACATGATGAAAGAAACAAATAACTTGAACTAAAAATTAAAATTCTATAAATAATTAAAAATGAAGAAAGTATCCTAGTATCGCGAGTAAACAAAGATTCGAAAAGGATTGAGGGAAGTTGAGATGTAGTCAGAAAATGCAGCAAAAAATATTAAAACTGCTGTTGGTAGAATTCAAAAATTGTAAGTCAACAAAATGATCTAAGTACAATATGAGAAAACGCTTTTTATTATATGTATTGAAATTAAGTACTTTTTCACATTGACCATTTGTAAGTCACAAGTTGTGCAACACAGCACTACAATAAAAATGCCATTTTTAAATTGAACAAGTTGATGACATCATGAATCTCATATACGGTTGCTATTAAAAGAAAAGGACAGCACTATTTTCACTTCAAAAATTTTTTTTCTTCGTTTTATTTGCAACCCACATCTCATATTCCACTACAGAGGAGCGAAAATTGTGAGATTCCTGTAATTACAACAGTTAACTTTATCAAATACTCAATAATTGAAGCTCAAATATTTTGTCCCCTACCAAACCTAGCCAAATTATTAGACGCACTGTATTTTTTTAATAATTACATGTTTTACACGAGTTTATATGCGATAATTTTATATTCAAACAGACATGTAATGAGTTTTTATTCAGATTTTTTATATACTTCCTATTTATATTTGTTTTTAACATATTGCATTACAATGTTAAAAAATCAATTCACCAATGTAAGCAAGTGCAAAAAAGGTTTCAGTCACAGGTTTTCCAGTTTTATACAGGGTATCTGCTACATTTTAGATTTTCTAATTCATGACTTTCCATGATTAATTCCAAGAATTTTTCATGACGTAACGAAGTTACTATTTTCTACATATAATAACATTCATTGAAATGATAGGTAAAACCAAAACTGTTATGCTCTGCATCTTCATATGTATAGATTTTAAATTTAAAAAACAGAGTAAAGAAAGAGTTGAAGAAATAAAATAGCTGAAAAAAAAAATGAAAAAAAATTTTTTTTTCCTGCAGAATTACATTCTAATGATACTTTTCTTGTTCATCAGAAAGGAGAGAAATACTCCTGTCTTTTCTGTTCTCATTTCGGAATAAAAAAAATTCGCCAATGACTGGCTTGCTTCAGCTAGAATTAAAAAAAATAAAAATAAAAAATAATAACAAAAATTCTGAAATCACAGAAGTTTAAAAGATAATTCGCTCTAGAAATGTGTTTTCTTTCATTTCTTGAAAGAACACCATAATTTTTAAAGAACACGATAAAAACATTTTATATTTTAATCAAATATGACTGTGAGTGGGAATTTTGTTACAAATTCAGATATTTGAAACACCATTAAATTGGGGGGAGTAACTTCCTTTTTAAAAATTAGATTTTTCGGCGGCCTAAATCCATGAATTTTCATGACTTTTTTTAAAAAATAGTTAAAATCATGACATTTCATGACAAATTTGGTTCAATACTGAAATTCATGACTTTCCATGATTTTTCCTGACTTTCCAGGTGCGCAGATACCCTGTTTGTACTACTCAGTTATTTGTTTATTTTACGTGCAGGGTTTCAATAATCAAATGGAACATTTTCATAATTCGAAAAAAAAGGCAAAATTTCACTACGAAAAAAAGTTAAGTAGCCCTCATGAATGCTAAAATATTTTCCAACACCAAAATATTACAAAAAGGTTTCTAGCGTACAACGCATAAAGAAGAAAAGAGAGTCACAGGACAAAATGAGTCCGAAACGAAAGAAAAGATACGACAGAATCTTATAGTGCGTCCAATAATACAGCCAGGTACTGTATTATTCCTTGAGCCCTTTTTTCTTTTCACTGTCTCTGCAATTCTACAGCAGAATAAAAAAACTAAGCAAAGGTGCTGTCTGTAAAATAAAGAAAATGTCTAGATAGCCAAATAAATTTTTTTGTGATTATAGTGACTGAATTATATTTGTAAGTTGCTGTTTAATTGTGTCTAGTAAAATATTATATTTTATAATTTAAATTTATAAGCTCCAAAAATAAAAAAATAAAACTAAGAATCAAAAGGCACTACAACCACAACAGAAAAATCTCCTGGAAAGAATTAAGAAAAATTAAACCTTTAATTAAAATCTTATTCTAAACCATAAATTTTTCTTTGCTGACAACCAACCCGTTTATTATTTTTTTTATGCTGACTAGTGGAAAAACAAGTCACTTCTTTCCAACAATAATGATTTCTAAGAACCTAGTATAAATCTCGTGGCAGAATCGCAGCGACATTGTCGCAGAATGTTACAGACTTCTTGCAGAAAGATTTTTCTTTTTAAGAATAAAAAATTTACTCCTAAAAAGAAAAATCTTTCTTTTTAAGAGTAAATTTACTTTTATTTTCTACAGAAACGTACACATAATATTTGAATCACGCATTTAGATAAGTAATTTTTGACGCATTCAATTTAGGCTGATTGTATTGTAAATCGAAATAATGTTTTGATTGTATTTTTGGCAGTCATCGATATTGATTTTCACATGGTTTTTAAATATCCCGATATCTTTCAAACAATAAAAATATTAGAATCGTGCATTTGAGTATTTACTTTTCAAGGAAGGCACTGATTCTATCAAATTTTTAGCAGTTATTGCTTTTGATTTCTCCATAGTTTTCAAATCTGATATTTTTTAATACAACAACTCAATCTGGAAACGAAACATGCATTTGAGGAGTCTGATTCGTGTGATTTCATCATTGAACTTTTTTATTGCAATGACCACTACGGATTTCATTATTTTTAATGCCATGATTATTTACAAAATGTGAAGAAGGAAATAATTTGTGCGTTCCCCACCAACAAAATGCAAGAATATCACTCATAATATTAGAATAAAAAATTATTACATGTTCAATTAAAAAAGTACATATTCAGGGGTCTGCCCAGGCCTAATTTACTACCGTTTAGCGGTTCTTCATAAATTCAACTTTACGAAAAACGATAGTTTCACAAAATACTTTTTCTTAAAATTTTATTTTTTTATACCTTAAAAAACGATAAATTCATATTTTTACTACATTTTTGTGTTGATTTTTCAATATAATTTTTCACAAAATATGTCTAAATTTTTGCAAAATAGGTACCTCTCCGAAAAACCTAGACAGACCTCAGATATTATAGTTTTTTTTTGTAAACACAACGTTTTTGTTACTTAAATTAGTAGCATATATGCTTGTTATTATTAAAAGTGTCTTGCAGATAGATATCAGTGCTAGAAAGTTTTGTTACAGATAGCTTAAAAAAATTCTGCCACAGGGAACTAATTCACATTCAATTCAAATAGTGTTATAATTATGTGATGCACTAAAAACTTAAGAATGTACATAGCTTACTTATGAGTATCATCTCCAACTTGAGAAGCATTGTCTTCAGTGTAAGTTCCAAGTAATTCAATCCTTACTTTGGCAGCCAACTCACTAATAAAATAAACACACTAATTTTTATTTAAATAGTAACTAACTATATTCAACTCTTCATTAGTTATTTTGTTAATGATTGAAGAATATACTCAATACAAAAAAATGGAGAATAAATTTAAATTCAGATAAGTATAAAGCTTAGCTCACCAGACATTATTTACATCAAAGAAAATATATAGTCAAATTCCAAAATAGCAAAAATTTCAATGCAACGAATATTTTAAGAATCCCTAAATGAATCTCTATAGAAACAATGAATTAAAAATACCGATATTGCAAAATTGGTCATCCGATTTAACGAAGATAACATTTCTCATTTTCTCTCAAGATTAGGGCTGCAGGTCTGTTGCGGCGCAAATTGGGGCGAAAATGTCCTCTTTTTTTCCGCAAATTTCTCAATATGTTTTGATTTTTAAGTAATTGCTTTAAATTAGAATTTTTGTTTTCATTTTTTAATTTATTATTCTTATTTAACGGATTTTTTAACTTTCCTAAAGCCTCAAAATTACCAGAAAGAGTAAAGAAAAAAGAATTAAGTGTAACAGAAATGCTCTTGAAAATTGCCGCGTTATAATAAAAACGACTATACGAAAGAATTTTTCTTAAAAAGAAAAAANTATTAGATTTTTTGTGTAAAAAAATATCATTAAATGATGATGGGAGCATTTCAGTTTTACTAAACTGTGAAATTTTTACAACAAATAATTGTAATAATTATTTATCTCCAATTTTAATAACTGATTACTGTTATAGACAATTCAAAGACTAGTTATTTTCCAGGCATAATTTAGGAATTTTCCAGATGTTTGCAAAAAATTGCAACCTTACCCGATTTTTGGAGTTAAAATAAAATTACCTGACAATTCCAGGTTTTCCCTGTTCTCCCGATCACCAGACTTAGTTTACAAAGAATATTTTCAGTGAAAGAAAAAAAAAGAACAATTTGTACATTTTTTTTAACTTGAAATATATTTAGTAAAGTATGAAGCTTAATTCACCAGACATTGTTTAAATTTAAGAATATGTTCAAAGAAAAAAGAAGTAAATAAGAAATATTGAAAATAAATTTTAACTTATATTACATTCAGTAAAGTTTGAAGCTAGTTCACCAGACATTGTTTACACTGAAGAATATGTTTACTAGGAAAAGTATTCGGAAAAAAATGTCGCTTTAAGAAATGTTAACTTAAAATAAGCTCAGTAAAGTATGACATTTTGCTCATCATACACATTTGTTTTTTTTAGAAGGAATGAAAGTAAAGGAAAAAAAAGAAATCATAAACAGTCGAGAACAATAAATAAATTGGGATCTATTGGTTTGCATATGATAAATATAAAACTATAAAATCTTATTTACCGACATTACATTACTAATGTAATGCTATTTTGCTGTTTAATTTATTAAAAACAGTAAATAGCTGTGAGAATAAAATTTATAATAACAAAGCTGCTCTGTGACTCAAAAAGTTTGAAAAACTCTGATCTATATTACTACAAGTAGGGGAGTGTCGGGTACCCCGGCCCACTGCCAATTTCATACGTATAGAATATTTTTTCAATTCAATGGGCCATCGGACATTAATTGTTACATTAAAAAAAGATTATTTTCAAAGTTTCAAGTATTTATGCAGCTGGTAACATGGTAAACAATAGTTTTGAATACAGTAGTCATGAAATTAAGAAAAATTGGTTGAATGTTTAGATTAAACTTCATTTTAATACTAAAAAAATAATTTTTTCTATACATACAGCATTAAAGTATGTAGTCTTAAGTTTAATTTGCACAAAGAAAGAAGTTTATATGTGAAAAATTGTTCGAGTAATTACAAATTTACAAAAAAATTGGATGTCGGTTATCACCACCCAATTTTATTTCGTCAATAAATTTACGGTTGCAAAGATTATTATTTTATTGCTTCAAATTTGAATGTTATATGCATTTTTAACAACAAATATTGTTGTTATTAAATTATTGTTACTAAATAATAGAATTCACTAAAAGTATATAAATATGTAATAAATAAAATAATTTTGTAATAAAAATGATAAATGAGGTTTATCTATAGTCAATACATTGGTCATTTTCATTTACACCTGAAAAGACAGTCAAAAAACATAATTTTTGTAAGTGGGCGGGGCTACCCGACATATTTTGAAAAGAGATGAAAAACATATTTTTTTAAATTTCTATTTTTACTATATTTTTAAGTTAAACTATTTTTTTTTGGTTTATTCTTTTTGCATTATTTAATTAGATGATAAAACAATAGAAACATACAAAAATATTGATTATTACTCAGTATTAAACGGAAATATAAGCAATACTCCTTAAGTGGGCGGGGCTACCCGACTCACCCCTATATATTTATTTTTTTGAGATTTCTTTCTAGAAAAACAAAGCTCTTAATTTATGAAACTATTGTTTTGACATATGCTTCTGAAGCTTGGACAATGACTAAACAGGAGGAAAATTGTATCACACTATTTGAGAGAAAGATTTTGTGGAGTATAATTGGAGGTGTAAATGAAAACAATAATTAGAGGAGAAGATTTAATTTTAAACTGTACAAGATTTATAAGCAACCTGATATTATTAAATAGACAAAAAATAAATAGAATGAATTGGATGTCTCATGTGATTCTAATGTGTGATGACAATACAGGAAAAAGATATTGCTTTATAGACTCATAGGAACAAGAAAGTGGGAAAGACAGTCAGTGGTTGAAATGGGCTGATTCGGTGCAGTCTGATTTTCTGGCAATTAATGAAAAGAATTGGAAACAAACATGAATTGGAAGTCGTTATGGAGAAATCTTCAGAGGAAGGCATTGGCCCACATTGGGCTGTCTGACCCACTAAGATGATGATATTTATCACTTCTTCAATAAATTAAATAAAACAATACTTATATGCAATTATTTGGTATGATTAAACCAACTAAAAATAAATTTACAATAGTTATTACCATGTTAATTTCTACCAATGTGGATCAATTGTTTAAAATCAGCACCCTAAATCATGATTTTAATCATTTGATATTTATAAAAAACAATGATAAAATTAAATCATTTAAGTAAAAAAAAAAAAGTAAGATCATGTATCATCCATAAAAGAAAGTGGAAGCATGAACTTAAAAAAGTAGAATCATAAATAAATAAACTTTCCTGAGTAATAAAATATTAAAAATTTTTTACAAATGTATTAAAACACATTTATAAAATAAAAAAAAATTACAACTTTTAAAAAGCAGAGCAAAGATATATGATAAATAAACACAGATGACACACACTATGTGTTTTTTTTATAATCTCTTAGATTGATGACAACATTTGCCTTAAAAACATTTTCTTTCTATGATAGTAAAGCATACCTGCCAACATTGGAGAAACAAAATAACAGACATTTTACTAGCAACATTTTTTAGGCTAAGAGTACATTTTTGATACACCATGCATAATCATGTAAGTCAAAATCGGAAATAATTTATGCACTTATATTTAGTGAAGTAAAAAATAGGTATATAAATCTTAATCTAAAGAAGATTTTTTAAACCATTATTTATAATTACTTAAACTACTAACACCCAACATACTGCAGTACTGGCAATAGCACCATCTATAAAGGAATAAGAAGTATTTGTGCCATCAAAGGATATTTCATCGCCAAATTTCTGCAACAAATACGGAGAAATTTGAGAATATACGGGTAAACAGGGGATAATTGTGAAATACAGGAGTCTTCATTAAAAAACAGGAAACTTGGCAGGTATGGTAAAAGTCTCTTTTTGTATTTCTGAAGAAAAAAAATTTGAAGATTAAAATATTTAATAATTCAACATTAAAAAAAAGGAAAAAAGTCAACTTAAATTGAAAAAAAAAAGTTTTTTTTTAAAATTCATCACCATTTAATAGAATAATTCTTTCATAACTAATGTTATTCTCAATAAATAGTTCCACTTAAATAAATAAATAACAATATTCAGGGCTCAGTGCGAGTCATAGTAGAAAAAGTAGTGAAAAAAGTGACTAAAATTTTTTAAAAAGTGACAAATAGTGACTTAATTAAAAACATTGTTAATATTCAGGCAACATCCCGCCTGAATATTAACATCCCAACTAAAAAAAAAAGTTGCATGTTTGACTTTAGCTGCAATAGCTTAAAGCATTATATTAAAGAAGCAGTGAAAGTATACAACAAAAATATTGTTGCTATCATCTAAAGTCAAAACACATTTATTGAGATGTTTTCTCTTCAGGAGTCAAAAAACTATGTATTTTTAAATACAATGTGAAGAACTGAAAAAAAAATGTTAAATAACTATTATTGCAACAACAAAAAAGTACTTTTACAATAGAAATGGTGCAAAACGAATGTGGCACAAAGTGATTAATGAAATAAAAATAATATCATATTTAAAGTATCAAAATTGGAAACATGTGAGAAACTGGACATATGTGGTCATTGTCCTAAAGGGGTTAAATTCGAAATATGCATATCTAATAACATTGTTTAAAAAATATTATTAAAAAAATAAATATGGCTGAAAAAACTCTCATGGAAAAAAAGTGGAATCATGATAGAACCGCCAAAAGTGATTTTTGAATAAATCATGAACACATTGTCGTTACAACATCGCATTAATCAAAAATATAACACCGTATAAATATGAAATGAAATTAATGCAAAAACTGTCAGAAAACAACATTAATTTACAACATAATCGCCTTGAATAAAGTGTTTAAAAAAAGTTAACTTTAAGGTGAAAAAGGCAAGTAGTAATAACATTGTACTTAAAAACCACGAGGAAAGGGCTGAAAAAATTATAAAAATTCGCCAGAGTACGACTGGATATAAGAAATCCCAATGAAATCAAATACGTCCAAGAATGATTTTCGTATAAATCATTAACAAATAGCTGTTACTGTAATACATGTCACATAATAAACATCATATTAATTAAAACATGGAGATTTGAAAAAACCATGGGAGAAAAAAACTGGGAGAAACTTTGTCAATCATTTGACAGATAAAACAATTATAAAACCAAGTAAATTTATGGTGAATCAATTTGAAATTCTTCTATTTAAAATTAGTGTGTCATAATATTGTATAAAAAACAGCACAATTTAAAAAAACACATAGAAAAGACAGAAAAAATTCTTAATAACAACTGATATAAAAAAAACATCAAACGGAGTAAAATTACAAGTCAAAAAGAGATTACTCAAATTCACATGACATAATAACATCTTACTAAAAAAAAAAAATCTGAATATTTGAAACGGGAAAAAAATAATAATAAGCACAGGTTAACCGTTGGCAAAATTGTTGTTGTCTAATTTTTTTTTACCCTCCTCATTTCGATATTCGCCTAAATTAGTATTTAAAACGATCCAGTTTGAACTGTAGGTAAGAATTTCTGATTCTTAATTAAAACAATATAAAGAAAAATATCATTCAAATGATAAAATTCTCTTTTATTCACAACTAAAGAAGTATTTATGGAATCTCTCTGGTCCCATATCACAAAAATAAACTCACCAACTTAATGTATAACAAAATTAAATAATAAGTGAAAAAAATAATTCTAAAAAGTTATCAAACAGTAGCAATGCATGCAATAAGGACACATGCACACTGTTAACTATTATTCTAGAGCACAGCTGAAGAGTGTGATGACGTCCAAATAAGGTGTGCACGACATCAAACCCAAAACAACACCCATTTTGCCAATGGGTAATAAAAGTTAACATTTCATTTACGTTTTATCTTTTGAAGAAAAACTTTTAAGCACTTTTAATGTAAAATAAGAACTTTTGCGAGTGCTTAATTTCTATGATGCAAAATTATACTCTATTAACCACATTTAAGGTAAGTATGAACCCTACAGGAAAAGAAAATTCAATTCAAGGAGAAATACAAAAAATTTCATGTACTGCATACTTCACAGTAGATAGAAAAATGAAACTTATGATAGATGATGACTAAAATCATTCCTCTATATAGTGAATGGCTCTCTTGCATTTTAAGAGGAATTCATTTGAAAGTGGAAATTGTCTATTTTTCTTGACATATTCAATACTCTTCTATGCCCCACCTATAGTCCTTCTTTACTAGAGCAAGAGGATTGTAATATCACAGAATTAGGGAAATGTGATTGATTTCTTTTGATTGAAATGGGGGGGAGTTGTGAAATTAAATTTAAAAAAAGTGAGATAAGTCTTAAAAATATTGAATAAAAATTACAATTTTTAAGATAGTGATATTAAGTGAGAAAAGTGACTCAGCCTAGCCCTGCAATATTTGATCGAAATTTTTAAACACATTAAATAAAAATCATACATTTGAATCTAATACTGTTCCTATTCAATGCAGGTAAACCAGTTACACAACCTTTGACTCAAGCAATACTTCAAACCTAGCAAAAGACATAGCAGTTTCTGGAGTTTCTCAGTACTCACATTCAGGTCAGTTAACCATGACTTTAACTAGAAGCAAAAGAAATTTAAAGCCTTTTAGTAATAAAAATTGCAATTGGTGATAGGTAGATAAAAATTTTAATTCAATAAATGTGCAATGCACACAAAAAAAGACCACCCTGAGAATAAATTTTGATCTAATGAGAGCAGACAATATTTTAAGAAACGAAATCAGATACAAAAACTAAATTTCTCTAAATAAACATACCTTTTTTCGATAGATTCGGATTTCTGATCACTAAAATATATGGAGTAACTGTAATCTGGGAAATATGGACCCCATAGTTTGGTCAGGGCAGCAATCCAAAGATTTTAAATATATGACTTTTCTGAAATTCAATTTCTCTATTCAACCGATTTCGCACAAATATTGCATTTTACTATGTAAAATTAGATACTCTAAAATGACATAAAAAAAATGTAAACATTACAATTCAAAGTTCTTCGACTATTATTAAATAAAATATTAAACATTAATAAATATTTACTAATATTTATTTTGTGCATGCAATTATCTTATAACACACAAATTGTATAATTGTGCGCAAATTTTTTTTGATTTGCTTGAAAAGTTCTCGAAATATGGCATTAACATAAAGAGGTTCAAAATTTGGATCGTTGTGCTGACCAAACTATTGTGGCTGCCTCCAACATTTCATGGGTCAGATATTCGAATCTGTTAAAAAAAAGGCACATATCAGAGAAAGTACGTTTTTTTGTCTGATTACATAACAGAAAATATCGTCTGCACTAATTAATTAGCATATTTGAGAACAAACCCTTAAACAATTCAGGTCGAATCCCAAAACATGAAAATCTGATCATTAGATCAAATTTGTTTTAGGGTAAGCCCTTTTTTTGGGGGGGGAGGGGACCACTGTACATCAATACCCAGATAAAAACCTGATAGTGCATTTTACCTGAGAGTGCATTTTACATTCGTCTCTTACAAATGAAAATAAGACTATTTCATAGTTTTATATTATACGTTTAAAACAAAGTAAGGAACAGCTATGATATTTTATACAGTAGGGAATCGATTATCCGGTTTTCTGAATGGCTACAAAAAGCCGTTTTTTTATTGTTAAACCCAACTAAAAAAAAAATATTTGGAAATAATCTTGAAAAAACGAAGTAATACACTAATGATTACTTCCAAAATGATGGTAAGGTAAACATCTTTCAAAAGAGAAAGAAAAATCCTAAAATCTTATGAGGAAAAAAAGATTTTTTTTTAAAAAAATGGCCGGAAAATTTATCGAATTTCGTTCCGGTTTTTTGGTTTTCCGGTTTACTGATTTCCGGATAACGGGTTCTGTACTGTACATGAAAAGTGAGCAAAAAATTAGTTAATCAGTGAACATGAAGAAAAGAAATGCATACTTTACTTAAATCTTTAAACACCATGTGAATGCCATCTCAGTTTGTCTAGTTACTCGAACCCAATTGTAATAGACATCATAACACAGAAGAGTTTTCTCCTATACCAGCAAATAAATTTTGCAACCTGTGGGAAGATTATCAACTTAATTCATCATTATTTTATACAGCAACATTCAATTGTAAGATGTCTATGACATTTTGTGATGGTGTTAAAGGGTTCCCACTTTTTTAACAAAGGCAAAATTAAGAGCTTTTGAGGACTTTTTTTTTTGAAAAAAAATTAAAGATTTCTTTAAAAAATTAAGGACCCTAAACGTAGAATAATAATTGTTTATCCTTAAGTTTACTTATACCCCTAGTGACAGAGCCAATTATTTAACTTTTTTTTTTTAAAAAATAAATAACTAAACAATTATAATGCAAGTAATGATACAATTATATTTACAGGATATCTGCTATATTTTAGATTTTATACAGCAATTATACAGATTTTCAAATCCATGACTTTTCATGACTAATTCCAAGAATTTTTCATGACCTAACGAAGTTACTTTTTTTTTGCGACAAAAACACAACAATAAATTCACGAAAGCATTATAATAATTTTAATTGAAATGATAGGTATAGCCAAATCTATTATACTCTGCATCTTCATGTTTATAGATTTTAAATTTAAAAAACAAAGTAAAGAAAGAGTTGAAGCAATAAAATAGCTGAAAAAAATACAAAAGCAAATAATTTTTTTCCTTTTTCCTACAGAATTATACTCTGAAGATACTTTTCTTGTTCATCGGAAAGGAAAGAGATACTCCTGATTTTTCTATTCTCATTTCGAAATAAATAAAAAAATTCGTCAATGACTGGCTTGCTTCAGCTAGAATTTTAAATTGATAAAATAAAAAATAAATAAATACTAATAAAAATTCAAAAATCACAAAAGTTTAAAAGATAATTCGCTCTAGAATTGATGTCTTTTCTTTAAGTTTTTGAAAGAACATCATAATTTTCAAAGAACACGATAAAAACATTTTATATTTTAATAAAATATGAGTGTGAGTGGGGATTTTGTTAGAAATTCAGATATTCGGAACACCGTGAAATGGGGGGGATTCTATTTCAAAAATTTGATTTTTCGGCGACTTAAATCCATGACTTTCCATGATTTTTTTCAAAAATAGTTAAAATCATGACAAATTTTGTCCAATACCGAAATTCATGACTTTCTATGATTTTCACGACTTTCCATATCCAGTATTTATCAACAGGCTTTGCCAAAGTGGGCGAATTTTGCGAACCCAGATCGGGCTTGTTCGAGTGGACCCACTTAAAGAAACTGACTTCTTTCCAAGGTGGGTTTTTCAAAATTTATTGAACAAGATCAGTAGTTTTTGCTTAAAAAGTAAAATAATTGAGCTTAGAACAAGATTTTCAAATAATTAAAGAAAAATTAACTTAAAACATAAATTGATATTTATTCAACTAATTTTAAGAGCATACTAACATAAAAATAAAATTGATACACTTTAATCAAAATTGAAAATAACTGTTCTTTAAAGGACAATGGGGGTCCTTAAACCCTACGAACATTTTTTATTTATATAAAATTATATAATTATTGCTGTTATTAATAAAATTTTCATTATAAGTGTCTAACTTTTAGCATGACAGTAATATTGCATTTTTTTAAAGACTGATTACAATGATTTAAATTAGAAATTAAATCAAACTACTTCATGGGTGCAAGTTGGAAAGAAGGCCAAGACTGAAAATTTTTTGACTGAAATACCTAACATACACAATACCCCCTCGACATATGCAAACTATCTAAGAAAGCTTTACCATAATACATCAAGTTTAAATACTGTACAAAAAATATTTATTCATCTGTCTTTTGATAAAATAACAATAGGACATAAGAAAGTAGACCAATAACGTAGGCCTAAAAAGTATTTTTAAGGACAGAAAAAAAAAAAATTTCGATTTCCGTCTTCGAGTCAGTCTTGTTTCCCTCTTACTTCCGTCCGCGGACATTTTCGAAAGACGGAAATCCGTCCTGGGGACGGAAGACTTGCACCCATGAACTACTTCATTTATAAAAAAGTATCAGTTTTTATGAAATGAAATTATGTAAATTATTTTGCAATTTTTTTCATATATTAAAAAAAAAAACATAAAAAAAGAGATATGGGGAAAGCATTGAAAAAAATTATTAGAACAAGTTTTATATTTCGCTGCTAGACATGCATAACATATTCAGTTGATATACATATTCAGTTCTAACCAGCTAAATATTTAGTTACCCCCCCCCACCAATTTTTTTTCGTCTATTAATAAAATGCTTCATTTATAAGGGTACATAATAAATAGAAAAAAGTTGAATTAGAGTTTCCTTAACTATGTCATGTTAAATTAAGTTCTATCCTAAGTAAATACAAAGGCCCTACTCATATCCAAACACTTAAAATTGTTCCACTTCTTTTTTCATAAATCTTAATTTAATATTTTTTAAATTCATTGCAACAAATAGTTTATGAAAATTTCTTTAGGATAGAAATACTATTATGCTCGAGAGGCTTTAATCTTCGAACTAAGCTGTTTCATATATCGTTCCATATAAATAAAATGGTCTAAAACTATTTTTCAAAGTTGAGAGCACATCTCTATGGCAAGACAATTGGTAAGGCTCCTTAATTAAGCAATAATTTTCTTTTTATCATTTAAAAAAAATTACTTGTAATATTTCTTTGCCATCCTTTATTAATATTATTCTTTGCCATTTTAATGATTTGATATTTTTTTATCGCAAATTAAAATTTTAAAGCTACAAGTAGTATTCTTTTATTATAAAGTAATCCTTAATATCACTTTATTATGTAAAATTTTATATTAAAAAAAAACACATTAAAAACGGAATGTAATTTAACCATTCTGAAATTATAACTAAAAGACAAATATGTTATATTTACTTTTATAATTAGCTTTATATAAAATTATTTCCAGTCATTTCTATCCAAAACTGTTATTTGGAATTATCTTCGCACAATATTACTAAATAATCAGGCAAAGAAGATTAACTAATTTTAAAGTAACCAAAAGCCAAAAATTAAACAGAAAAAAAAAACAGAATATTAGTTGCAATGTTATAACCGAACAAAATAATTAATAATAAAATATAAGTTTAAATTTTATTTTAATAGACTATAATAAAAAATTGTGATATTTTAATGAGTTAGATTTAATTTTTTATATAACAAACTGTTTGTCCTTAAGAAATAAAAATAATAGAGTAACAATGTAAAACCTCTAAAAAATTGTTATAATGCAACAAAACAAGTTATAAATACTAACCATAGTAACTATACATGCAATTTTTCATCAGAAAACTTTGATTTTTTTTAAATTTGTAATATCAAAAATTAAATTTTTTGAGCAAAAACCTATAATAGAATGAGAATTGTAAAATAGAAAAGTTTCATTAAAAAGTGAAACTCTATTTTCCAGGTATGATATAGGAATTTTCCTGATTTTTGGAAAAATTGCAACATTCCCTCTTCTCCCTAACCCGTGTAAGCCCTGTTAACTGTCATGTTAGAAGCAAATCATGCATCTAAAAAAAAAATGGTTTTTTTTTTTTAATCAAAAAACCTGATAAACCCAAGTGTTTTGAAAAAAAAAAAAACTTAGGTAGGCTGGGAGTTTTTAAAAAAAAAAAATCTCTCTTTTTTTCCAAACCCTGTTTATTACAACACTGTTTACGTTTTAGTCCAATAGGAAATTTTAAAAAATTATACTGCTTTTTATAAATTTTCAGTTATTAATTACATATTGAAATATTATGCACATTTAATACTTCACAGTTTTCAGAAATATTTTCCGTAATGGATAAATTTTTTGGTTACTTCTTTTTTAGGGCTTTACTTCATTACTATGAGTATGTGTGCTACCAGTCGAAATGAATTACCTTAGAATTATCCCCCCCACCCCGAAAAAAGCAGGATCTCCTCCATGTGTAGTATCTTTCTTGTCCACGCCCTATTTTTTTTCTTTTAAAATGATTCCCTTTCTTCGTGGGGTACAATTCTAAACAAAAAGAATTTTTAATAAAATAAACAATTTATTATTGAAAGAAAAGTATGATTTCTTCCCCATACCTTGCACTCATCCCTTCTTTTCTCTCTAAAATGCTATACCCTTGATGCAGGGTCTCATTCTTGGTGATAAAAGAACAACTTTTTGTTTTTAATATTCTTGTATGACTGAAAAAAAATTTCTATCAATTAGAGTGACACTGAAAATTAAGGACTTTTAAAAACCTTGTACGAAAATTAAATACTTATAATGGCTGTTATTTTTCATAATAAAAATTAAGCAGTTTTTAAGGACAGTATGAACCCTGTTTTAACAATGAAAAAAAGATTATAGGTCAAACTAGACTACATATTAAAACAAAGACAATCTCACTTATCGATTTAATAGCTTCAAATGGCACGCTAAAATCAGTGTGCTTGAGCTTTTATCTTAAGGAAAGAAAAAAAATTTGTCACTATGATATGTTACATCTCACAGAGAAAGGGAAACATTAGTCAATTCAATAGGTTAAGGGAATAATATGGTTCTCACACTTAAAAAAAAAGAAAAAACTTAAAGTGTTAATTCATGCATACTTGAATCAAAAATAGAACCAAACACCAGATGTGAATAATAAAATGAGAGAATGGGTCACATTTTGAATAATAGATCAAGGAAAATTTAGGTAAGAAAATAACAGAAATAGATAAATTAAACCTTTTTATGTTTACATATATTTATTATATAAGTATCTATCTATGAATGTGTATATATATACACGTTAATATATATATATATATATATATGACGTAAATGAAGAGCAACAACAACATGGATTATTGGTTCATGAGAATCAAACTTCTCTTGATGGTTTACCACCAATAGTATTAAAGTTGCATTTTCCATCACGGAATAGAGGAAGTTTGTTGGCATATCAAGCACGAAAATGTTTGATGATGGTGACCATCATGCTGTTGTAGATCATTTACTCCACACCAAAGCTACACAATGGACTATTGGCGACGGTCTGGGAAATATCCCTGAGTATGATCCGTAGACATGCCATCACAATTTTGATCCTCTGCAGACGGGATGGCACCCCCGCTTCGGTAGCCCAACGACCTGAACACGAAGTCGAGCACTTTACGGTAGAACAGTTTAACGAGGACCAGTATCACACACCCTCGGTCCCTACGCAGACTGATCCAAGTGTTCACCCACCCGTACACTGACAGCAGCCAGTGATGCTTGACTTCGGTGATCTGCTGGGAACCGTGTCTTAACGATCAGTC